AAAGAGAGTCTTAACTTCGCTCGAGAAGTTACTACGACGAAATCTCTGAATATATCAATTCCAATATCTGATCCTAAAATATGAATTTACATAAACTTATCTGTTTTGTTATACTGTTAACGACCATACAAACACACTGTGGGATGAACCAAACGTAGTGTTAAGGCGATTAAAAAACGCTCATGGGATACCATGATGGGCGTATGTCGCTCATGACAGTAAGACGGTGGCCATGGAAGCCGAAATCCGCTAAGGAGTGTGCAACGACTCACCTGCCGCAGCAACCGCAGCAGCCCTGAAAATGGATGGCGTTGATGCGTTTTGCCTATACACTACCGGCATGTGCGACGTTCATTGTGACGTGTGTGATCATCTATTTTGTTGATTGTAATTTACCCCACTTACGTAATAGCAGGCAAGTATATTGCAATTAAGGGGGCTCTTTAAGGTGGAGGGGGGGCTTAGGGCTTAAGATAGGAAAATTGGGATTATATTGAAAGAAAAATATAGGATAGGGCTTAGTAAGATGCGGCGTCGATCCGGGAGGCCTGAAATCACATGGTCCGGGTCCTTTCCAGGGCGCCACCTAGCTCCTGCGTCCCCAAGGAGCCGGTTTGACCCGATGGGAATTTCCACCACGTCACCAAAACAAAAGGGAATAAGGAAAGAGATATAGTTTATACGGATAGATATGGGAAAGTAAGTATTACTTCGAGGAAGTCAGGGTCGCCTATAATTGAACTGGATCGATACAGCTATTAATATAAATGGTCGATATCAAATAATTAATTTTTATTTTTGTCCAAAACAACCAACAATCTTAAAAACTTGTAACACAAGTTATCACAGCGTACACAATGTTTATTGATCTACGATCTGTAGAATTTTGTACCTCATAGCGAAGGTTACGCAGTAACAATGTAGGCTGAAAACTGAGGCAAAACAAATGTAGGCTGGATTAGATCTTTTCTCTCCAGTTCCGCATCTTTCATTGTCTGCGTTTGGCAACGCTGCCAAATTGCTGATGTGTATACAGTTTAGTTCCGGCGATGTCTGCGGAGTTACGAAAGAAATCTTTACGCCACGTTTTTGTATCTCATGATAAATTATACAGACCTACAAATTAGAATATATTTTCCTCTTTTCAGGTTTGATACATTGAGTTTACCAACTTCGTAATGACGAATCTAAAGTCGGTTCATTACTCAAATTGAACGTTAAAAAAAATCGTTTAGATGTTTATGGTCATGTTCAACGTTTGCAAATACTACACGAGCTTGGGAAACCCTCCCTTTGGTGCTGCAAAGCTTCATTATAGGATCATTACGCTTCATTATAGGATCATTACGCTTCATCATCAGCGGTAATCAGACATCATGCTATGTTTGTGTCATCATGCTAACGTTTCCGATACCTGCGCCCCTATTCCTAAAGAAGAATTACGGACACCTCTTATCTCTAAATTAGTAGGTAGTTTGGTCAATATGCAAGCAGTTCAATATCTACAAGGAATAAAAAAAAACGACCAACATTTTCCCTAGATTACAGATCATATATGTACATCTGTCCCTCCTAGTGCAAATCCTATTGAATAGATCTATGACGTTGTATAAATTGTTATCTAGAAATTACACGTCTCCTAAGATACAGGTTTCTTACCTAGTTTAGGAGTGTGTCGTAACTGACCGGTATTTGTGATCATATTACTACTTAAGCTCTGTTATACCTGTGCATATTATATACTATGTGCTGTGCTTACATCATCATCATCATCATCATCATCAACAGCCTTTAATAGTCACTGCTACACATAGGCCTCTCCTTGGCAAGGAGGTTTTGGCCTACTATACCACGCTGGCCAGACGGGTTGGTAAAGGGTTTGTGTCAAGTTTTCCTTCTCTTTGTAGTGCTGTTGTCTTGCGTAGTTTGTTCCCTTAGTCGGCTCTTACGACACTCACCGGATGAATAGGGGTGGTGACACTCTGTATTCTTAATCCGTCACCACACGGATTAGCTGTGCTTAAGCTAAGTGTAAATGTAAGAATTGAAGTAAATAAAGATTATTGTTATTTGCAAAGGTTTTGAAAATAACACGTTAATTTATTTCCCTTATTTTCTCTTTTGCTCTTGTTATACCATTTTTGTAGTTAATATATACAATGTGTCTCGGTTCGGACTGTACAAACTTTAGGGGGTGATAGTTTGCTCTATTTTATCACTAAAATCATTCTACAGGTGGGGTCTAAACCCAACGGCCTCTGAATGGCAGCCATTTTTGTATTTTGGTTGACTTTTTCGTAGCGTCCATACTAAAAGTTATGTAACTTTGGAGTTTAATGTCCGATTATCATAAAACAAAAACTTCCCATAACGGAAAAGTATTAGCAATCAGATAAATAACTCAAATAATTTTAATAATTGCTGTATCATATTAAAATGAATGCTAAAAGATCAACTTAACGTCAAAATTAACATTGTTTTTTAGTATTTCAAGGCTATTACAAAAAATACCCCTGTGAACTATCTCTTATTATGCATGTGTCTCAGAGATGGTAAGCTGACCTAAATAATGATCCCAAAAACTCGATTCTATGACAACTGGTGTAAGAGATATTGTTGCTCGAACGCAGCCCTTCCGTGCGTAAGATATGAATGAGCACCGCAATCTACACTTGTGGATGGCTGAAAATCCACATGCTGTTAGAACATCAACATTTCAGCATGAATTTTCTGTGAATGTGTGGGCAGCTATGATCGATGATCAATTGATTGGCCCCATCGTACTCCCAAGAAATTTAAATGGCCCAAGATTTTTAGAGTTTCTGATCAATTAATTTTCTGAAGCGTTATTAGAATTACCATTGTCATATCGGCGACGCATGTGGCTTCAGTTAGATGGAGCTCCTCCACACTTTGCCCGAGCGGTAAGGGCACACCTAGACCAATATCATCCACAGTGGATTGGCCGCGGCGGTCCTGTAGCCTGGCCACCGCGTTCGCCATACTTAACGCCACTGGACTTTTATCCCTGGGGTTGCATGAAACATAAAGTTTATTTTGAGCCAGTCAACACCAGAAAAGAGTTGCTGGAGCGTATTCGCGTTGCTGCTGCCGAAATTAAAGATAATCCGAACCAGTTGAGACGGTCAACACAGCAGGTAGCGATTCGGGCTACTGCGTGCCTTCAAAGTGCTGGGGGACATTTTGAACAATTATTGTAAATGTACATTTGTTATTAAATAATGAATACTTGTTATTTTGTTTATCTTTGCTAATCACTTTAAATATCTAAAGAAAAAACCAAATCGTTATGCACAAGCCTATGTTCCAACAACAATATTTTTTAAACCAATTGTCATAGAATCGAGTTTTTGGTATCATTATTTAGGTAAGCTTACCATCTGTAAGACACATGCATAATAAGAGATAGTTCACAGGGGTATTTTTTGTAATAGCCTTGAAATACTAAAAAACAATGTTAATTTTGACGTAAAGTTGATCTTTTAGCATTCATTTTAATGTGATACAGCAATTATTAAAATTATTTGAGTTATTTATCTGATTGCTAATACTTTTCCGTTATGGGAAGTTTTTGTTTTACGATAATCGGACATTAAACTCCAAAGTTACATAACTTTTAGTATGGACGCTACGAAAAAGTCAACCAAAATACAAAAATGGCTGCCATTCAGAGGCCGTTGGGTTTAGACCCCACCTGTAGAATGATTTTAGTGATAAAATAGAGCAAACTATCACCCCCTAAAGTTTGTACAGTCCGAACCGAGACACATTGTATACATATACATATATATAACCAGCAAATAATGTCAATCAAGTTTAGGCTGTGATGCAGCGGGCGCAGAAATCAGTGATGGCTATGTTACTATACAAAATTAAACCGTATCAACTGGCCCACTAACGCTGTAGGTATGGACGTGGCCTTGCTAACACCACTTGACATTTAACACTCCGTAATTGCACATTATAGCACCGGCTTCTGACTCACAACACTGGAACACGCCGAACAAGTTATATATAATGTTATGTCTACTAATACTGACATGACATGATAGTAATTTCCAAAAGAATCCCTTATCTACATATCGCTGGATAGGTATGAAGTTTGACAAGCGTGCTTTAAACATGGACGATTTTCAAATGCTCTCGTATAACCTTTCGTAATATGAAGGTTCGAATAATGTTTCGTATTTAAATTGCTGGGTTAATAGAATTCTTATATCCACGAATTTCAGGATAGTATTCCAAAAATTAAATAAAAAATGACGTGTGGCACTCGGGGACTGCCGTGGTAAAGCTATTGCATAGCATTTTTTATCAACTTATGCAATTATAATTATTTATTTATTTTATTTATGCAGTATTTTTTTTCCTTTGTTTTTTTTTTCTTTGATATTAATTCAAGTTACACTTTTTGAGCGTGGTGACCGATAAGAAAACATTTTTTTTTCTTTTATTAAATAAATGAGAAGTTAATATTGTTTAAAATATTTTTATTATCTTACAATACATGTAGGTTATTCAGGAATATGAGGGGATTACGCATGCGCAGTAACGCCGATACAACCAATGCCGGTTGGGGTGGGGAGTGTTAGGTTATTTTCGTTACGGAATTTCTGTATTCGGTCTCCACGCTCAAGGGCCGCGATAGAAGCTATGCAATAGCTTTTAAAAATGTTTGTTTTGTGATATGCAACATTATTTTTTTATTGTTACGATTTATACATCTATCATTTTTACCTAAATATTGCAAGAATTGGATCTCTCTACAACAGTTTTAAAAGAAAACATTTAAATGTTACGTGTTTTAGAAAACTACATATATTTATATACTGCAATATCAGAGCATTTCATTAACAAAAACCTAAAAAAACTTTTTATGTAAACATTTCTTTTCTAATCTTCTCGGTCCAATCTTGATGAATTAAGAATGAAGAATGTAACGGATGGGAGAAGTTGAGAACTTTGAAATTTAGACTTACCACTAGCGCGCTGGAATTGTACAGCAGCCTTCTGACACTCCTGCCTAGCAGTGGCTGCTACTCCCACGGCGTCGTAATACGGTCTTGACTTGTCCACGCAAGTGCCCAACCGTTTTGTCCACGCCTGAAGCCTCCTAGAGGTCTCGTTCAGAAGCAGATGAAATGTTTTCATAGACTCCTGTAGGTAATAGAAAATGCATGTTTTACATCTTAGATTAAGTATTACATGTTTATAGCTATTTAAATTATGTCAAGGGGCAATATAAACATACTTCCATAAAACAATAATCTTGAAATTGAATGATATTAAAGACTAGTTGGTACCCGCGACTTCGTTTGCATGGAATTAGAAAAGCGCTGCCTTAGTGGGTTCGATTTCCAGACCGGGCAAAATTTTATGGAGTTGTTTCTGAGAGGAAAAATAGCCTAAGTTACTCCTTATAGAGACAGCTACCTGGTAGTAAAATATTATCAAAATCGGTCCAGCCGTTTAGAAGATTACCAGATACAAACAGAGAGACAGACCAAAAAAATTAAACTGGTTATAGGCATAGGTGCAACTAACTGTGTGAGCATAAAAACCCTATTATTTTGACATTAGACACTTCAATTTTATTTATTTGTATGGATGTGTAGATTGATAATAAACACAAATTTAATCATCTACTTTTAAAGTAATACCTAGAATAATGTTTGTGCTAATAACTAATACCCATAACTAATACTTTACTGCGACTGCACGGATGGCGGCTTAAGCCGTAGCCTCGCCGCTTCCTACTGCGTTAAGTGTGTGATCTACAAACTGTTGTTCTGAATCTGGGTGTCCGTTTCATGTATGTTTGTAAAGTCCCCCGCGACACGAAATATATTTCTAATGCAATCTTTAAAAACACTTGTAATAAATCAAAATCCATCAATTTTATTTTAAGCTACATCCATAGGGAAAAAGAGGATCGGTGGGTTTGATGGTTTTAAGCGAGCTCACTAGCGGAAAGGAAAAGGCTGAGAGGAGCTGTTTCAAAAAAGCAGGACGGTGACGAGGCGTGAGGAGTTAAAATTTACTAGAGCTGCAAGCCAAGTACGACCGGCTGTATGACATCTACTATAAACAGTCATAATCCTGACCCGCTTGCCCTTTGCCCCGGCTTTAAAAATGCCAATACACTTATTATCAACAAATGTTTAGCCTCAGGACGTTAACTTCTCTACATTGGCCATCTAGCGTCCATAGACTCCGGATACCCGATTATGATCAGTCGAATGAAATAATTAGATGAAATTGTTACGTCTGATATTATTATATTAATGGAATTTAAAATATCAATATCAGTGTTCTTTTTTTCAATAAAAGTAACATTCTCAATTGAATTACGTCATGTTGCTAACATGTATGAGATGCGCGGGGCGGCCGTAATTGACCTAATCTATGCGCCACTTGCGCTTGCGCCGACCTCGTGCTATCGCCCGCTGACGCACCTTCTCTCATTTGGTCAGTGGCATACCGTTGTGGTTTATTTAGTTTATTTACAATAGAAAGACCTAATGGTATGCTTAAAAATAGTTAAAAATTTATACCTGAATGACTTCTGACGTATTTGTTATAAAATGAAAAGTATTGATTTTTTATCGTATGGATCGGGTGCTTTTGTTCAGTAAAGTCAAATCCATTCTAATATTTACCATCAACAGCCTTTAATATGTCCAGTGCTGGACATAGGCCTTTCATTAGAAAGGAGGTTTTGTAGGCCAAAACCTCCTTGCTAATGAAATATATACCACTATACCACGCTGGCCAGACGGGTTGGTATAGGGTTTGTGTTAAGTTTTCCTTCTCTCTACAGTGCTGTTGTCCTGCGTAGTTTGCTCCCTTAGTCGCACCCATGCCACGGGGTGAATAGGATAGACACTCTGTATTCTTAACCCGTCACCACAGGGTTCTAATATTATAAATGCTAAAGTGTGTCTGTCTGTCTATCTATCGTCTCCCTCTTCATGCTTAAACCGCTAAACCGATTTAAATGAAATTTGGTATAGAGATAGTTTGAGTCCCGGGAAATGACATAGGATACATTTTATCCCAGAAATCATACTTTGAGGAGGTGAAAAGGGGGGTGGAAGTACTATTGGATTCTTTTGCTTTTTAGAATACAACAAAATTACTGGCGGTAAATAAATGACACGGTTGAACAACTGGAAACAGCACTTGTCATAAGTCAAAGCATTGTAATGCTAATTCTCCAACATCTAAAATTAGGTATTGGTACGTGAAGGCATCTGTGGAGGTGTGTGCGTCGAATTAACTCAGAACATTCAGTTTCCTGTCGTTAATTTTACGATTCCCTACGCGTAAGAATACGACTTAGTATTAGTTACGGGTACACACTTATTACGAAATGAAACTGTAATATATCTGTTTAGATTTTGTGCGACTATTTCAATATTCTATGAAATGAAATGATATTTATTTCTGTAACTAAATCTTTTTAGATATTTTTACAAGTCGGACTTTACAGCTAGATGGAGCCGGCATTTCCTAAGACTCACTCTCGGAAGAAACGCCGAAACAAACCACAGAAGTGTCTTTTTTTTTGGTCCGTAAACAAACTTAAATAAAACTGTGCGAGTACAGTGTAGGGTCTGGGGTAGGCCTTTTGAAGAAAGGGACATAGTTTTGAATCGGCTTGTCCATGCAGACGGCATACGAGCCCCAGCCATCGTGTAGCCTAACCGATATTAGTGAAGATCAACGAACCGAAGCGCGATACTACCGCCAACAGTACATTTGAGTAGGCCGAGGAAACACTCAAAACCACCAAAAAGTTTCTAAATATGAACTAACATTATAAGCCTACACTATACTCACATTTACATAATTGATAAATTATATTTATTTGTGTAAGTATCTCATAATAATAATAACCTCACACACGGCTGTCCAACTAGTCAGAGCCTGTACTATGGTAACCGGAGTGCTGATAAACATACTTATATATTTCTAAATACATACATATTATAGATAAATGACACTCAGACACAGAACAAACGTCAAAATCGTGCTCATCACACAAATATTTGTCCTGGGTGGGAATCGAATCCACGACCTCCGGTTTAGCAGTCAAGGTCACTAACCACTAGATCAACAGGCCCGCCCGACATTTGTACTGTACTTGTAAAAACTTGTGTGTGTACTTGAGATATTTTTACAAGTCTGACTTTACAACTAGAAGGAGCCGGCATTTCCTAAGAATCCTCACTCCGGAAGAAACGCCGAAACAATGGTTTGTTTCGGCAAATGAGGTGTCTTTTTTTAGTCCGTCAACAAAGTTAAAGAAAACTGTGACCATTGTTTTGAGTCGGCCTATCCATACAGTCCGCAAACGGGCCCAGCCATCGTGTAGCCTAACCGATATTGGTCAAGATCAACGACCCGAAGCACGACACTACCGACAGCAGGACATTTGTACTTAGTGGTATTGAAATGTTAATGTACAAACGAAAATGTAACTTATTGATAGACTACACAAAAAATGTTTTTGAAATGTAGTTTTATTGCTTATTTTTTATCTTAGAAAATATAATAATAATAATAATAATCATTTTATTGGAGTAACCATGACTCATTGCTTGTTAGTAATACATAAAACTTAACGTTAGTAATATTAAAACTTAATGCTAATAAATATTATAATATTTAGCATTAAGTTTCAGAAATCTATGTATGTGTACTGAAAATTTAGACTTTTTAACAGTTGGACTTTTTAGTGTGGGATAGCCCATTTATCAAGGCAGTCTATAGGTAAATAACATCACGGAACGACCAATGGGAGCCGAAAACGGAAAAAAAATGGTCAACTAGTAAATAAATGTAAATTCTTATTCTAAGATAATATAAATGATAAATATGACGTCGATTTCTTATCGAACAGATAACCTAGTTAGTTAAGCTGTCTGGTTTTATTAGTAGTTAGTAGGGTCTTCCCTAGAAAGTACCTATCTAAATTAAACTGATGTACCAGATAGTAATATATCCCGTGGGTGTCGTAAGAGCCGACTAAGGGAGCAAACTACGCAGGACAACAGCACTGCAAAGAGAAGGAAAACTTGAAACAAACCCTATATCAACCCGTCTGGCCAGCGTGGTATAGTAGGCCAAAACCTCCTTTCTAAGGAGAGGCCTATGTCCAGCAGTGGACTATTCTAGGCTGTTGATGACCAGATAGTAACAACACGCCCAATACCAGCACAAATTTTTTGACGTAGGAAACCTTTCATATATTCTGGCTATGAACTGTGCCTAAGTCTATTCGCAGAAGTTCAATTGCCAACAAATGGAGTTGTAGTACTTATAAATGAAACCATATTATGTTGGCCGAAAACACTATCCCATCGTTGACGACTGTTAAAATGGTGGAAGTTGGGAAATTGTATATCTGATCGTCGTGAGAACTATTATTGCGCGATATATTAGGCCTCCGTAGTGCGGTGTGTCTTCTTTAGATCGTATCGTTTCTTCCTTCTTGTTGTAGTATGTGGAAGTCGCAACAAGGACAAGAAGCTGGTTCAATACATAGATGAAACAGTGTACGATAGATTTATTTACTGTATATTTTTTCTTCAAAAAATTATACATACATTTAATTTAACTCTTATTTAATATATGTTTACATATATAAAAAAAAATAAAAAAAAAAAACATCTTGACACATCTTGCATTTGAAATTTGTCATAGAGTAAAGTATTTTACTAGTCATTTTGAACCCATATCGAGGGAGTTGTGAAAAATAAATAAGCCGTTATTTTGTGGCGGCGGCCATCTTAAACCGATTTTCCTCACACATAGCTAAGACTAGACTAATTCACATCTTAAAAAAATAAAAAAAAAACAAAATCAAAATCGGTTCATCCGTTCGGGAGCTACGATGCCAGACACGGACACACACACACACACACACACACACACAAACAAGAAAAAATAAGTTACAATAAAATGTTAAAAAAATATGTGGGGTTAAAAATGATATGTTAGTTTGTGTACGATTCAGAAACTCAAGAAGTTCTACACCGAATAAGCTCAAATTTTGACACGATATACAACACGCTTCAAAGATTGTTCTGATCTACTTTTTAAACGACTTAAAAAAAGAGGATGTTCTCAATCGGTCGGAATCTTTTTTTGCA